TGGTTCCCAGCTCCCACATGGTAGCTTAGACCATCGTAGCTCCAGTTCCACTGGATCATGCAATGCCCTCTGCTGGCCATCACAGGGACCAGGTACACATGCAGTACAGAGACATACACGCAGGTAAAACATTTATACATAGAAAGTAAAAGTAAATAACCTTATAAAAAAGTTTTCCTCATGTAACTTTGTCTCTTAGTGTTACCCACAAAGCTGTATAGTTACTAACTCCTGACTGTGCTCTGGATCTTTGCCAGCTATTAAGTTGTATCGTGACCCCTTGGATGGAACCCTCTTCTGATGCATTCTAACTGCTGCTCTCCTAGTCGCCCTTCTGTCAGCTTTGAAGAAGTTACCGAGAGCGGCTCCCAAACTCCTACACGCAGTCCTCTAAAAGGGGACTGCTGGGCCATGGGCCATCCAACTCATCCTACTTCTCGCCACTCTGGACATTGTTTGGGGGTCAAGAACTACAACGGCTGGACTGAAGCCTTGCCAACAAAAGTTAACAGAGCAACAGTTCTCCAAAGAACCTTAGGGAACAGTCAGATCAGCTCCAGCTTCCTGGCTGCTACAGGTTGGCATCCGTGCCCTCCTCCAAGAACAACGCTGCTTCCACACCACCAAATTTTAACTGGTTTGAGATGGAGCAGAAAGAAAATTCAACCACAAGCCTCCTCCTATCATGGGCTTCTGGATCCCTCCCCATTTGCCTCTCCACCTGCTCACTCTTTCCTCATTATTCTCATATTTTTGTTCTACCCTGTCTTTAAAAAACTTCAGCCTACACCCAAACAAAACGTTCCAACGTGAGTTCTCCGAAGAGCTCTCCTCTGTGACAGCACCATTGGTTCCCAGTACATCTACAAAAAGGCCTTTTAGACACTGTCTAAATTCTAGCTAAAAGGGACCTTCATCCCTTCCACCCCAGGCTGATACAGTTCTGGACATTCTTCTCCTGTTCCTTTCCTTGATGCTCCGAGGCTCCCCACTGCTTACTCCTGCAAGCTCATCTTGGGCAGCGGTCCTGGCAAGGGGACCAGTCACCGTCACTCTCAATTAACTCTTTGCCCACTTTCCCTCAGAGACTCACTCGGACTCTCCTAACTTGGCTCCTTCCCCTCCTCAGCTTCCCCAGAAAATCTCCTATAACCAAAGTATCTGCTCACAGCTCCCTAGTAATTATTTTCCAAGTCTTTTCAGAAATACGGGATGGCAATTGTCTGCTCCATCAGAGCAGATGACCAAGTTAAGACTCCCTTGCTGCTACGGACCACAGGACTCCCTCTTCAATAGACTCGGAATCACCCCCTCGACAAAGACCCTCCTCCCCTCCACAGAAAGCAGCTACAGGACCCCTTGCTTTGCATTTCTGTTGTTATTGTCATTGTCTTCCTAGGCAGTGTTTCTCAGTGTAGCCCTGTCCGTCCTGGAACACATTCTGCAGGCCTCAAACTCAGAGATTCACCTGCCTCTGCCTCCCAAGCGCCGGGATCAAAAGGTGTGCGTCACCACCGCCCAGCCAACTCTTTTTATATCCTCTCAAGAGTTAGGAATGACAGTTCCCCTGAGGACTACAGAAGTTGTTTTCTGTCCGTACAAGGGGCCATATCCCCTCTTCTATGGGTAGTCTGGCCACCTGCACCTGAGGTGACAAAGACGGCCCCTTGTTGTGGATAAACATGGTCCTGCCTAAGGTCAGACCGAGTCTCTCTACAGCTGCCTTTAAATAATCTAACAGCAGCAAGCGGCTTACTTGCCAAGCCATCTCTCCACCCCCTAGTTTTTCTCTATGGACTCTGAAGTATAGATGTAGAGCTGCGATATTGCTCGGTGGTAGAGCACTCACCTAGTCTGTGTACAACTCGGGTTTGATTGGCACCACCACCACCAGACACACCACCCAGGGTTATGTGATAGTCACAATCCCAAGAACCACACAGAATTCGTGTAGTTCTTGCAAGGGCCTTGACTCTTCCCCTTCTCTAGAGGAGGAGCTGTCATCCTATAGCGTACTGAAGTGTGGGGAACTACAAGTGTCTGTGGACAACCAGAATCTGCAGGATCTCCTGTAGAACAGCCCTCAAACCCAAGCTCCCCAGGCACCCACCTGACTCCCGAGGTATAATTCTCCGTGGGACCAGCTTCCTGATCTAGACAAAAAAAAAAAAAAAAAAAAAAAAAAAAAAAAATTAGACTCTGAGGACAAGTCCCAACACACTTCTAGGTCCAGCCTCATTTTGGAGTGACCATCCCAAGCTTGATCCAAGAAGTTCCATAACCCTTGTTGTTCTTTGCTTTTGTGTATGTGTAAAATGCATGCACTTGTGTGTAAGGAGGAGGTTGATACAGGGAATCTTTCTTGATTCCCTCCTTTTACCTATTTTGTTTGTTTCTCTGTGTAGCTCTGGCTACACAGTGTAGCTCTGGAACCCACTCTGTAGACCACACGGACCTCAAACTCAAGAGACTCACCTGCCTCTGCCCCTGCCCCAAGTGCTGGGATTAAAGGTGTGTGCCACTATGCCCTGCTTTCTACCTAACCTTTTTAAGGTAGAGCCTCCCAGTGGAACGCAGAGCTCACTGATATGGTTTGTTTGGCCTCCTCTCTGCCATTCTGAGGCCGGAAACAACATTGCCATATCCACTTGCCATGTTTATGGACTCTGGGGTCTTGTCTGAACAAGCACTTTACCCTGACCCATATCTTTTCAGTTTATCCCTAGATGTTTTCAGAGAGTTCTGTGTCCCTTTATCTAGTGATGCAGCAAATCCATGATCCGTTTTTTTTTTTTTTTGTGTGTGTGTGTGTGTCTTTTTTTGTTGTTGTTGTTTTTTTTCCTATTTTTTCAGATTTCTCTGTGTAGCCCTGGCTGTCCTAAACTTTGCTCTGTAGACCAGGCAGGCCTCAAACTCAGGGACCTGCTCATCTATGCTGGGACTAAAGGGCTGTACCCCCATACCCAGTTTCCCTGATTAAAAAAAAAAAAAAAAAAAAGCCTTTTCTCTCTCCTCCCAGTACCTGGTTTGATACTCACTGGGGGTGGAGGGAGCACAAAGTTGTCTGGGAACACTCCTCTTCTGCCTTGGCACTCTCCTTCCCACCAGCCCTTATCGTCTGTTGTCTGATGGGTAAATAAGCCAGTTGGGGAGGTGAGCATCGCTGAAATTCTTCTTGCTCAGGTCCCACTCCTTACCCTTCTGTCCCCCACCTAATCCTCTCACACCTTTCTCAGAACTTTCACCAGGTCCCCCTTCTGCAGCGTCAACTCATCCGGGGCCTCAGGCTGGTAGTCAAACAGAACCCTGCAGGTCTCAGGGCAGGAGACTAAGAGAAGGTCATTCTCCTGGGTAGCCCCGCCCCCGTCAGCCAGCGACTCCCCCAACAACCTAGCTGGCTCCCCTCCCACAAGCCACAAGGCAGGGGGTGGCCTGATAGTATGGCTAGATGCTCACCTGTCTGCAGGTAGTCTGGAGGGCTGTCATAGGTCAAGCTGCTCAGCTATGAAGGGCAGAGCAGGGAGAGAATAAGACCAGCCTCCAGCCATTTTGAAAACTCACCTGCTGCGCCCACCTTGCCCCAGTTTACCTTAGGAGGCCTCTGTGATTTAGGGCTGACTGAAGGCATGTCTGTATTTCCAAGGCCTGGAGGGGGACAATGAGGTTAGGGAGGTGCTAGTTCAGCTAGGTGGTGGGAGAGGGCCAAAGGGGTGAAAGGGTCAGGAGGATCACTGGGAAGATCACTGAAGACTGCAGAGTCTGGTCCCAGGGGATCACAGGGTCACGGTCTCACTTGGGGACCCACTGTCCAGCAATTCCACAAAGTTGGATGGGAAGGCTCCCAACTGCCCGTTCTTCTTCCCCAGCCACCAGCCGTCCTCAATCTGGGGAGGGGGAAGGATGCGGGAGCCCAAGAGTAACTCAAGTGTCCACCCTCGGTTCTGCCCAAGGACTGCATCCTCCTCTGCTGCCTCCCTTCCCATCGCCCCATCCTCACTGCACTCTCTCCTGTGTAAAGAGCTCCAACATCTTCCCAAGTTCCCTCGCACCCCCTCACCTCCTTTATCACTTCCACAATCTCCCCAGTTTGAAGCCTCAGCTCGTCTGCCTGCTCTGGACTGTAGTTGAAGTTCACTTTGCACCATCTTTGGGGTCCCCGAGAGTTGACGGGGTGACCTAGGCCAGACAAGCAAGGGAGCGGCTAGAGCATGGAGCCCTGTCAGCAGCGCTGGGGAAGAAGGGGACCCCGAGCACCCCCTTTAGTAGCCTCAGGCCCCGCCCTCCAGCAGAGCATTGTACTTGAAGCCAATCAGAGGGCTGCAAAGTAGCCTCGGGGCCCCACCCACAGCCGTCACGCTCTACGTGCGGGTGGCGAGCCCCCACCCGCCGGCTCATCGCCCGACTCACCGCGGCGGCGCGCAAAGCGCGGCCTAGGCTCGGTGACGCCCCGCAGGGCTTCCGGAATCTCCTGGGAAAATCACAAGGAGCGGCGCTCAGCACGAGGCCTGAGGCTGGGTCGGGGCCGGCTCCGTCCCCCGTGCTGCCTCACCCGCACGGGCCTTACCTGCACTACGCGTTTGGGGAAGAGCCCAAGGCGGCCCCGCAGCTCCCCATGCAGCCAGCCTCGAGCCGGCCCCGCGCGTACCTGCCGGACCACATCCCCGGGCGCCAGACTCAGCTCGTCCTCCGTCTGCGCATGGTATCTGGCCAGGACCAGGACCTCTGCGGGCGGAGAGCGGGCTAAGAACGTCCCTGGACTCTGCCCTTCGGAGAGTGGGGTGCAGAAGAGCCACCCCGAACCCCGCGCACATACCCATGACTCCTGGGGCGCCTTGCACAGCCTAGCCGTCAGGCTAGTGGTGAAGTATTGGCTATGCGGTGGGCGGGCCGGGCTGTAGGGCTATAAACTGGAGGAGGCGGGGACTCGAGTCATAGGTCAGGATCCAGGTGCTAAGAGTGGGCGGCCTGGCCCAGCCGGTTGGGCCCCGGTTCCAGAAGTAATTGTCCAGGGTCTCAGCTTAAGGCTGAGGTAACAGCTTCCCCAAGAGATCTTCCACAACTGCTCAGTTCTACTCTAGCTAAGTTCCCAACCCAGGCCAAACTTCATGTCTCTTATAGATTTCCTGGCCCGCCCTCTTCTGGTTTGCAAGTTCTTAGCTGCAGGGGAAGGTGGAGCAAGGTACATACCAGGGTGGGGCTGTTCCTGAGAAAGTGGCCCTAGATGGAGAAAGTGGTGGCTCGTGTGTCTGAAAAGCTACCACTGGCATTTTCCGAATTTCAAAATCTCGCTGGTGGAGCTTTGACTCATTTGGGGACCTGATTGGGTTTCTGGTAATTATTGAAGATTCTCTTTGGGGAAAGGCAGGAAGAACCAACTCTTAATAAATCTAGTCAAGCCGAGGGCTGGCAGTCTGAAGGTTAGGGTCCAGCCGCCACAGGGCTGCCAGCTGGGCTAGACTCACCTTGTCAGTAATCTTTCTGCTGGGTGAACAAAACAAAGCCGAGCCCATTGACTGCAGCCTTGACCCTTGCCCCACCATGAAGGAAGCCAAAGTCCTTTCGTGGTACCACACTGTAGTTTAGTTTGGTTCTTGGAGGTGTCAAAAGCACAGTATGCAGCGCCTCCACTGAGAACAAAAGGCACTTCTTCCCAGAGAAGGAAGTGTATGGATACCAGCACAGCCGTGTAGGTTTCCCGAAACTTCCGTGGGAAGTACGTACCAACCCAGGGTCACTCACGCAGGCATTAGGACAAGGAACACAGTCCATTTACATCTGCCACTTCATTTATTTTTATTTGCAGGAGGAGTTGAAACAAAAATTTAAGGTTGTTTTTCTTTTCTCCCCTAAACATGAATCCTTCAAGTAAAACCAAATTAACTACAGAAATTTGCAAAGTAAGGGGAAGTAAGCACAACAACCCAAGAGCCAAGGCTGGCGGAAGAAGAGGGTGCAGTCCGCACTGAACATACGCACAGATGCAGTGTTCTCCTGCTCGGGACCGCCTCCCCGGAAAGCAAGCACAAGGACCCTTTATGAGGATGCCCCCACCCCCAACACCTGAAAAGGTTTCAACTCAAAACTTAAGGTTAAAAAGAGAAAAAAAAGGAAAAAAAATAAAAATAAAAAACACACAACCCCACAAACCACCCAGCCATAACCACCATCCTTAATCGATCATAGGAGTTTCTTCTCGTTTTATAAAAAGATTAATAAAAAATATTGAAAAAATTATTTTCTCATCTTATATTTGTAAAGATAATAGAATTCAGAAGTTTCTTAGAAAACAGACCAGAAACTGCCCTCCAGTTTCCACTCCTTTTGCTGGGGACCAGCAGGACTACAAAGTTTGGGATACTGGAGCTGCTGGTGGAGAACGGGAAGCCCAGCCCAGGAGAAATCAGACAAGAGCAGGGTGCATGGGGAAGGCTGGGAGCGACTCCGCGTGATACATGGTGGTGTAGGGAGGGGAACACAAGATGGTCAGAAAGGCCTTAAACTCCTCCTAACATACAAAACCGGTTTTTACAAAGATCCAAGCAGTTTGGTCCCAAACTGAGGTGAACACTTCAATGTTTATTCACATGCTTTTTTTTTTTTTCTCTTAAGAATCAAAGTTGCCCAAATTAAATCTTTCTGCTAATATTACTACATAACTCTTAAAAAGAAAGGAAAAAGAAGAAAAAAAAAAAAAAAAAAAAGGGCCTTTAAAATCGGGATGGGAAGAGACTGAAAACCAAGTTCATCCTCTTAGCTCCAAATGAAAGGAATGAAGGAAACTTGGTTCCTAATGGGGGGAGGGGGGGGGGACACAAACACAAAAAACAGAACAAAAAAAATCCAAGCATCAGCATCATTCTCCCTACCCTGCCCCCACCCCACACATCAACAATGAGAAACAGCCGGAGCCCAGTATGTTCGTGGGCCTGATCCTAGGTTCTGTGGTCAGAGTTCTGTCCAGTGGGACAGCCCCAGGGATGTACTCTGCTGCTGTAGGATTCTGTGTGGCTGGTGGGTTGTGAGGTGGGGTTGTAGGGCAGGGTTTTCAGGATCTTCTCCAGGCTCCTTCTTTAGCTCCACCAGCCTCTCCCAGCGCCTTTCTCCCCTGGGCAAGGGCTCCATCAAGACTGGCCCCTACTCAGCCGTGGGCTGTAAACTGTCCTTCTCTTCTCTGTTGTCTGTCCCACTCTCATCATCTTCAATCTCTCCTTCCTCTCCACTGAACTTGTCATGGGCCCATTTGGGGCTGGTACTGGATTTCCGGAACATGAACCGGCCTCGACCCCGAGGGAAGGCTCCTCGGCCACGGCCACGACTCATCCACTTGTCACTGCCCTCACCTTCCCGGTCATCATGCTGCAAGGAGAGAACACTGGCATCAGTTTAGCACTTTCTCCTCTGTACCCACCCACAAAGGCCAGAGAGCCTGTGCCTCAGCTTCCTTTTCTGCCCTTCTCACACTCCAAAACTGCCACAGGTTCAGATCCAAAAGCATCACTGGGTAGTACCCAAGGAACTCTCAAGTGTGGACATCACAAAATTGATAGTGTGACCAAGAGGTATCATCTCACCTAACACTTCTGTATACTCTGTCACCATCATGTTAATGAAACCATCATTTAGAACACTATTTCCATTTATTTATCTACTTATTTATTTTTAAATTACTTTTATTTCTGTATGTATGAGTGCTCTGCATGTACACCTGCTCACCAGAAAGGGGGACCAGATTTCACTATAGATGGTTATGAGCCACCACGTGGTTGCTGGGAATTGAACTCTGGTCATCTGGAAGAGCAACCGGTGCTCTTAACCTATTTATTTTTCAAGGTAGGGTTTCTCTTTGTAGCCTTGGCTGTCCTGGACTGGCTTTACAGATCAGGCTGGCTGGAATTCAGAGATCTGCCTGCCTCTGCCTCCCCAAGTGCTGGGATTACAGACATGAGCACTGAGCCCAGCTTAAAACACCATTTCTTAAAGGAAGAAGATTCTAGAAAGCTAATCATACTAATATGTGAAATAGAACTAGATCACTAGATAAGGAATAGTACACAGAAGACACACCGGGGGCTCCAGCCCTTTCCAAATTGCCCACCCTAGGTTGCCCTCTTACAGTGAACCCTTCTTCAGCTGTATTAAGGCGGCAGAGTGTGACAGGAAGAAAAGAAGCCTACATCCTGAACAATCCCTGTTCTCCATAGGAGAGATAAGAAGTGAATGAGTTCAAAAACTGCATTAGTTAGTATGAAAACCCACAATAACAATTTCAAACTAATGATTACATTCTCATCACTCCACAGTTTATGCCATCCGCACACAGAAGCCACTCTTAGGTTCCTGAAGGTCAGCCTGGCTGACTGCCAGCTGCTTCTGTCCAAGGCTGCAATGTGCCACAACAACCAGATCAGATTGGCAGTGCTCACTCAGGTGGCATCAGAACCAAGAATGGGCTTTTATAGGGCCCTTTCTTTCACAGCAACCCCACACCTATTTCAGGGCCCCTAGAAACTTCAAATTGGCTCCCAGCAAATGTGTACAAGCTTCAAGTGTCACACTAGCTTGGATATAGACCTGCTGAATCACAAGGCCAAGAGTTATTGACTAGGGAACAGCCCAGAGGAGCACGGAAATGATACACAACTTAGGTAAGAGAAAAACCTCAGTGGCATTCCATTATGGAAACAGTTCTTTTTCTTTCCTCAAAAAAGTCTACAACTGTCTTTATCAATCTGGTAGTAGAGAGTGACAGAGGCTGGGGGTGAGTGAAAAGTCAAAGTTCACAGACAATAGTAACATTTCTTGCTTGTTCTAGACTCTATAAACATCTCAGAAAATAAACTATACTGGAGACAAAATTGACTTCTCTCTCCAAAGAGCCATCTAGCTAGCACTATACTAACACACCAACAGTCTTAAGCCTGTATACAAATTTAATCACATGGTCAGATGAACCAATTTAGATACAAGGCTATCCGGCTGGCCCTTCTTCATTAGTCCCAGACACATACCAAGTAATACTTCTTGCTTTTGGGTGTGTACTCTGGATCCCACTCCTCTTCCCGGTTTCTCTTTTGAAAATCATTGTTGCTGTTGTTGTTATTGTTACCAGAATAATTTCCTCTGCCCCAACCTCTCCCTCTTGCTCGAAACTGCTGTGGAAATAAATGAAGCAAAAGGTCCATTTCAGAAGAAAATTCCCTGTGTTCTGTTAAAACATTCTCCTGAGAGGGAATGGACAGCTAGCTGTCCTCCAGTCTCCAGTAGTTCACACCCATTCTCCCTGCCCCCAACCATACCAAGCAGACGGTCCAGGAGGTATAAATAGGAGACCTTTCCTCAAGATCCGAGATAATGGGGGAAGTTCTGGGATGGGAAGCTATAAAAGGCTTTGGAGGCGATTAGAAACAGAGAAGCAAGAGAATGTAGAAGCTTAAGGAACCAAAGAACCTACAAAACTGGCGTGCTTAGAGGCAAAAGAACGGATATCCTACTAGGATTTAACCAGGATAAGAAGCCACAAGCTTAGGCAAAGAAGGGAAGCCCTTACAAAGGTTCCCCGCGCTCTGCCGCCTCTCTCATTTGGACCCACGAAGTCTTTGGTTCCCAGTCTGGATTTGTCAAAGCCTGTGGTGCTCTCCTCCCGCTCCTCTGCTTCCTCGGGGTACTCCTCTGCTTTGTAGGAGTGAGACGACTGGGAAGAGGAAGAAGAGGACCGAGACCGGTCTCTTGCTCTGCGATGCTTCCTACATGGATAAGGAGGAGGAAATCAATACTCATTTTGGCAGTCTCACAGATAAACTTCCAAGCAACCAGGTCGCCATCAGCTTTGTTCACCCCAACCCACCCAGCAGACCTAGGACATATCTGTTTCTAAGCCTGTAGCAAGTATGTATCACATACAAAGGACACAAAACAATCATGTCTTCCAGTATCAGCCTAGGAAACAACAGAAAATACAAGTAGGCCTGTAAGTCACCCTGGCTGGCTCTGGTGCCGCAGCAAAGCCCCTCTGTCAGTGCTCTGTCACTCCTAGTACTCAAAACCATGCTGGGTTGTGGGTGGGCGCAGGGAGTGGGTAGGATGAAATAAAGTGTCCAAAC